CTACCACCCTTGAGGCCGAGAACCAAAGGTCCGCTTCGAGCTGGCTGCCAAAGATCAGGAGCTCGCTGCCAAAGATCAGGGGCTGCAACAACTGCGCTCCGATCTCGCTGCCAAGGATCTTGAACTGAAGTCAGCACTTGATCGGATTGACGTGCTGGAGCGCAACCAACCAGGTGTTGGCTCGGCAGCGAGCTCTGACGGACCCATCCCGCGAGTTTCTCTCGCAACGCTTGTCACAGCCACAAACAATTTTGCCGCTGATGCTCTGCTCGGCGAAGGAGCGTTTGGTCGTGTGTACGGCGCCAGTTTGCCTGGCCCTCGCGTTGCCATCAAGAAGTTGTCTGCCGAATCCAAGCAAGGCTCTGCCGAATTCAAGTCGGAACTGCACTCGTTGGCGAAATTCCGTCACCCGAATGTTGTTGCTATTCTGTCGTATGCGGAAGACGGTGCCGAGCGATGCCTGGTCTATGAGTTCATGCCCAATGGCTCTGTTCGCGATCGCTTGAATCGCAAAAACAACACTCCTGCACTGACCTGGTCCCAGCGTCATCGCATTGCGGCTGATGTTGCCCGTGGCATGCACTACATCCAGGGAGCCTTCTCTGACAAGCTACTGTTTCACTTCGACCTGAATACCGACAACGTGCTGCTGGACGCGCATTTCAAAGCGAAAGTGTCTGATTTTGGTCTCTTCCGCGCCCAACACCTCGATGCGAAGAGCTACATTTGCACCCAGCTCGCGCAAGGCGCAGCTCCTTACATGTGTCCGGAGTTCTTTGAGGAAGGCCGCATGACCAACAAGACGGCTGTCTACGCGTTTGGCATGATTCTGCTGGAACTGCTGACTGCAGAAAAACCCAGCACCAAGCTGAAGTCAAAGGCGCGCAAAGCGGTGAAAAACCAAGCCATCGCTGGCATGCTGGACTCAACACTCAGGCCAACCGAAGCTGAACGCCAGGACATGACTGAAATGGGCTCTCTTGCATTTGACTGTCTTGATGAGGCTGCTGATGAACGTCCGTTCTTTGGTAGCATCCTCACTTTGTTGGATTCTTGATGACTCGCGGGATGTGTTGTATTCGTGTTTCAATCTGTAGCGGGTAAATTCGCTTCGTCGAAGAGCTGTGTGGAAATTACTTGCCGCGCACGTACAACGTGCTCTTTCGGCGAATTTTACAGTCCCAGCTGCTTCCTGCCTTGGTTGTTTCCGTTTGAGATGTACTGTACTGTTGTTTGATTCTTGCCCAAAAGGATCCCGCGGTGTGTGTGTGTGTGTGTGAAAAAGGCTGTGAAAAGAGAATGTGCTTCGAAAATTCACCTCGGTTTTTCGGATCGAAACCCCGTTGTACCGCTTGTTTTCTGGTATCTGAGCAATGATAAATATGATTTTGAATCCGGACAACCTCAACGAGACGTATTGGCTCGTTCTAGGTCCGTGCTCGGCGTTCATGGTCAGTCGAAAAGTGGACGTGAGTTGGCGTTTTGTGTCCCGGCGGACCAGCTACCAATCACATCTCAAAGCAAGCAAAGCCAGTATGAGAAAGCATGATTGAAGCTTCATTTATGTCTGAAGGAGATGTGTTTAACAGTCAGAGCAAAGAGCCAATTCAAAACTCGATGCAATATTCAGCAGTGGCGAAATTCCGCTCATCATTTTCCTCAAGTAACAAAGTTTGACCGCCAGGAGTGGTCTTGGTCCTCAAACTGTACAATCGCACGAGAAAGTTTACCGTCCTGAATGAGGTCTGCTTTGATCCAATTTCCTCGATGCCACGCTGCATCCAAGACGTCATTGACGAGAATGGTGGCTGTTCTGAATACTAAAGTGGAGCTGGCTTGATTTGGTTGATTCTTTGCGTGACTCGAGTTGAATTTTTGGGTTTTTTGTGCACACAGTACAAATTGACAATGTCAACAGCATTCCACATTCATGTTGTTTGACTGTTGAACAAGCATCTCTCTAGTCACGCTTTTTCACGTTTTACGAGGGCGGCAGAAGTGTGGTGAGCGATAATGACATGCAATCTTGCAGCGCAAGGAACGTTTTCAAGGAACTGTCATCTGGAAGCCTTGAGCGAATTGCTCCAGGTCGCCGCGGTGCATCACCCACGAAAGCGGTGGCGGATTTGCAATCGTCACTCGAGACGTCAACATGACTCCGACAAGAATCACAGTGTCTTCTTCCATGACATACTTTCGGGCGAGTTCCTTCCGAGCATTCGTTTCCAGCCGCTCAATCTCGTCTTGGGTGGTGAGACGAGACTTGTGATGCTTTACTTGCAGTCCAATGACTGCCGGACGCACTTTGCCGCTCGTCTGCAATCACATTTTGCCAACAACAACCGTGAGTAAAGATCCAAACCACAAAAGGGCGGTAGGGTTTGGCAACTTACTTTCTCGACGACTTGAGCATGCATGTAACAGTCAATAGCCGGTTCAAAGTGAGTCGCGAGTGTACATTCAGCATTGTCGAGCTTTATCATGCACTTCACGTCTTTTCTCCAATCGCTCAGTGTCAATCGCAGTTGGAGATCCTCGCATCCCGCACCAAACTTAACGCCAGGTAGCACCCGACTCAGTGGTACATCAATGTGAGCCGGCAGCTGTGGTGCACCAGTCTGGTCTGATGCGTCAAGCTGTTTTGAAGCGTCAAGCTGCTTCGAAGCGTCAGCATGATCCAGCAGTGCTTTGGCGACAAGTACAGTCAATCGCAAGTTGAAAAGGATGCCCACAGTATGCTCCCACTCAACTGCAGGAAGATAACGCTGCGTGAAATGATGCTCCATCTTGCGCTGAAGGTCGGCGACATGGCCGTAGGCCGAGCGCACAGTTTGTGCGAGCGTGTCACGTCTTAGTGGGGCGTCACCCGAACGTAGATCTGCAAACACTCAACGAGCACGTCAACTTGTCGTTTCTCAGGTCACAAAAGCAATTCCAGAAATCCTCACCAAGTTTCGACTCGCTGGGCAAATTGAACTGCAACGACCCTCTGCTGTCTTTCTCGCACGCTGTTGTTTGTCATCAATAAGGCGGAAGGAGTCAACACAACAATCAGTCAAGTCCAGCATCTTGAAGTGTGACAACCAGCCAACTGACCGACGAAAGCACATCCTGTGTTAATCCAAGAGCGAGTTCGGGCGTCCAGACTTGAAGGGTTGATCGAGAACGCGTCGAACGCACAGAAGTGCACGAGCTCGATAAACTTGCGGGCATTCAGACAGAGTTTAGCCGCCGCGCCGCTTGCCATCACACCAAGAACCTTCTCAATGTGGCATGGTATGCCACCGGAAGGATGCAACTGGCTCTCGAGGTTTGCATCCACGCGCTTGGGTTCAGGCACCTCCTCCTCATCCACGTTGTATTTGCTTGAAGCAGAGGTTTGAGAGTGGAGCGACTCAAACAGGCCAGTGGTGAGGTCGTCGGACAAAGTGCCAGCGTAAAGCACAAAGAGTCGCGCTGCGGGGCGCTTAACGGCAGCCTTGAGTGACGCGAGAGTCTTGTCCAGCAGCCGACGTTGACGTTGAGCGTTGTGCCAGCTCGAACAGCCAAGCAACTGTTGAATTCCGTCAACAGCGATGGCAAGCCACGGCAGTTGATCATGACTCGTGGGCTGCTGACTGTCGTTACGAGCCGAGTACTCAAACTCTTGGATGAACTGGAGCGTAGCAGCGACCTGGAAGCTGCCAGTTTGTTCAAAGTTGTCCTGAAAAAACCTCGGGGGAATTTCAAAGTAGGCAGCCAGCAGGCGAGTCGACAGAGCGTGCTCCGGATTGGCTTGCTTGAGAACTGTCCAGTCGTTTGCAGAGTCGAAACCGGAAGGACCGTCGAAAGAGACGGATAAGCACAACGGATCGTTTTCTCTGTTACGATGAGCTGCCGGGGCAATTTGATGCACAAACGCGTCACACAGACACGAGTTCCCTGTACCAGGGATTGTGGCAGCAAGAAACGACCGATGTTCAAGTGGATCGGTGTCGTTTGCGATCGTCTTTTTCATCCGTTTCAGCAGCAGCGCCTCGATGGAGGAGGAGGTTCTCTCCAGTCGTGTGTAGCTGTCCTGCAGAGCAACACCATGAGACAAACTTCACAATTCGGTCATTGAGCTCGACTAGAAACGTACTTGCTTTCGCTCCAATGTGATCAGGCCGCGGAGCGAATCGCGGATCATGGCTGGCGTGCTTTTCAGCTCTCCTGTTGTTCCAGCATGCGTTCATGAGCGCGCACACATTGAGTCGAAACAGCTCGCACCAATCTCGTCAAACGGCGCTTACGGAATGGCGCTTGAAGAAGTGGGTGTTGTAAATCACGGTACTGCTGTAGTTCCTCAGTTGTGAGGTGAGCAGGGACCTGTGTACAATGCATGCAATTGTCAGTCTGAGGAGCAAACCACCAATCCATCTCAGAAACCAAGCGTCTTTGAGCACTGACTTGCACTGGCGCAGCCTGGCTGCTGTTGGTTGCTAGACCAGCACCCTGCTTGAGCGCACATCGTCAGCTTCACCCGTCACAACAGAAACTGCACATTTCCCACTCACAGAGCTGGTTTTGAGAGTGGAGGCGTTTTTTGTCGGCATTTTCGCTCCGGCCTTCGCTTGCCCTTGCATCAAACCCGACAGGGAACGCTGAGTAGTTGGCACTGGACTCCGCTGCTGGGAAGCGCCGTGGGATGCGTTGGCAGTAACATGCCCAGTCTGCTAAAGCCATTTTGCATCGTTAGAATTCAAAGTTCAAGGCAAGAAATTCAACATTGGTCGTGGTCACCCGCTGTCGAAGGATGACACAGCTGCGGCGGTGACTCGCAGATGGACAGTCATTTCTCGCATTGAAGCAGAGGGTGAGCGAACGTGGGGATTGTGAAAGGGCGAAAGGTTGGCACCTAGCAAAGCATGAACGGAAAAGGGCCGCCGAGACACAAACCTGCTCGCGCCAAAAGTGTTCTCCGCAAAGCTCAACGCAAAAAGTCTCGCCCTCAAGAGTGCTTTTGTGTAGACAAACACACGTACAAGGACGGTGAGGCCGGTGGCAATGGCGCCGCGTCGGGCGAATGCCGAGAACGAGCGAGTGGCGGCAGTATTGGGCTTCATCAGGTGTCGAGCCGCCAAGACACCCGCTAAAGGTCGCAGGCAACTCAGCATTCTCGGAAGAAACAAAAAAACAAAAGACTAAAGCTGCAACGAAACGGGCAAGCGATGAGAGTTTTAGTTTCAGTCGCGTTTCTTTCCTTGTTTTTTTTTTTCTTCTTCTTCTTCTTCTGCTTCTTCTTCTGCTTCTTTCTTCTTCTTCTTCTTCTATTTCACCGTCACGCTCTTTTCCATTCATCAACAGCAACCACAACAACAACAACAACAACAATTCTAATGGGCATATAGGTTAAGGAAATGATTGGTATTTGCAGTGCTAGCAACCTCGCTTGCTGCGTTGGTCGCGCTGCTTGCTCGCTGTGTTGCCGAGTGCGCTGCTGCCCGGCCAAGTCGAATGCGTCGACCGTCACCCGCCTCGTCTACGCCTTCATCCTCCTCATCGGCTCCATCGTGTCGTGGGTCATGCTATCCGACTGGGCCAGCAACGAGCTCGCCAAGGTGAGTTTTCATCTCGGTGTGTGGGGTGGCTCGCCGTGAGGGGCGGTGCGCTTCTCTCTCTCTCTCTCCCTCCCTCTCTCTCTCTCATACACACACTTTCCCTCTCTCTGATGATGAGTGGTCCTCTCTTTCCGTCCAGGTGGGGAAGGGGCCGCTGGTCGACTGGCGGAAGTGGAAGGGCACGGTGACGAGCCACAACGCTTGGTCATCACCTTCCATTCTCATCTCTCTCTCTCTCTCTCTCTCTCTCTCTCTCTCTCTCTCTCTCTCTCTCTCTCTCCCCTCTCATCTCCCTCCCTCCCTTGGTCCCTTGGCCTCAATCTCACGCCTCGCTCACACGCATGCAACATTTCTTGTACACCGTTCTGCACCTTTTTGTCTGCAGGTCCCCGCGCTGGTCGATAGCTTTGTCCGCGCGCACTGCCTCACGGACGGCGGCTGCTCGCTCCACTCTATGGCCGGCGTCATGGGCGTCTACCGCGTCTTCTTCGTCCTCGCCCTCTTCTTTGCGCTGCTCGCCGTCCTCACCTTCCGCGTCCGCTCCTCCAAAGACCCCCGCGCAGGCATTCAAAATGGGTAAAACAGCAAAAAAACTAGCAAAAAAACTAGCAAAAAAAAAAAAAAAGCTCAGAAAATTCTTATGCTGTGCGACCAATTTTACTAATGCTGCACTTGTTTCTCACCTTCCTCCCTCACTTTCCTCAGATGGTGGCTGCCGAAGACGCTCTTCATTGTCGGATTGCTCGTTGGATCGTTCTTTATGCCGAACAGCGTCTTCTTTGACTGGGGCTACCTCGGACTCGTCGGCGCGTTCTTGTTCATTCTCGTGCAACTCGTCTTGCTCGTCGACTTTGCCCACGAGTGGTGCGACAAGTGGGTGGCCAAGTGGGAGGAAACGGAAAGCAAAATCTACCAAGTCGGCCTCCTCGGCTCGACCGCTTTGCTCTACGCTCTGACCATTGTGTTGACCGTGCTCCTGTTCGTCTATTTTGCTGCTGGAAGCGACTGCCGTTTGAACAAGTTCTTTGTCGGCTTCAACCTTGCCCTCTGTATTGTCTTGTCCGTGATCTCGGTTCTTCCCGCTGTTCAGCAGGCCAATCCACGGTGCGTCCGATGTTGAGTTTGATTCCTGTGTGGCATCAGCCTGTTGCTTTGAACCTAAAGCGGTATTTCCCTTTTGCGTGGTTGTTGTTTGCAGCACGGTACTCATGTTTTATTTCGTTTGTTTTGTTTTGTTTGTTTGTTTGTTTGTTTTGTTTTGTTTGTTGTTGGTGTTTGTTGTTGTTGTTGGGGGGTTTTTTTGCTTTGCTTTTTCTCTTGCTCTGTCGCTGGCCGCCACGCAGATCTGGATTACTGCAGGCTTCTGTCGTCTCGATCTACATGACGTACCTCACTTGGTCGGGCAGTCTCCAACGAGCCCGACTCGGCCTGCGCCTCGGGCGCTTCGAGCGGCGTGTCGAGCAGCACATCCATTGTGCTGGGCGCAATCTTCACCTTCATCACAGTCATCTACTCGTCGGTTCGCTCTGCCACGCAAGTGAGCGCTAGCTCCGATACTGACGAAAATGAGGTAGGTTGTTTCTTGCTTCGTCTTGCTGCAAGAAAAGCAATCGCGGGGGGGGGGGGCTGTCTGTACCTTTGTCTTATTAACCGTTCTTTTTCTATTGCGTGTAGGTGGCTCTGCTCGACTCGGATGCTCTCATTACCAACAATGGTCGTGGCCACGACGACAGCGACGCTGATGACGATGGCGAATCTGGCGGCCACCACGAGACAATCGACAACGAGCAGAAGGGGTGCGAGTACAATTACTCCATGTTCAACCTCATCTTTTGCCTCGCATCCCTGTATCTGATGGAGGTCATTACCAATTGGGCGTCCGTCAACAATGGCAGCGAGATTACGATCGACATTGGCCACTCCTGGACGGCTGTGTGGGTCAAGATGGCGTCTACCTGGACCGCCGCGCTCATCTATCTCTGGACACTTGTGGCTCCGCTTGTTCTGACCAACCGCGATTTTGGTCTCAGCTCGCCCACGTACTAAGGGCGCACGCCTTCCGGGATGAAACGCAGCACTTCAGCCGCGCACCTTTTTTTTTTTCTTTTTTGCAACGGTCCTTCCGCTTGCTGTGAATATTATTTTGGTTGTTGTTGTTGTTGTTGTTGTTTTGTGGCTGCAGCTCATCTCCTGTTGCCATTTTGTCAATGCATGCATGACGTTCGGTTTTCCGTCTTGTACTGTGTGGCTTCTATTTTTCCCTTCTCAACCCGCTCCTTCTCTTGCTCGCAGGTTGTCGTTTTTCAATACCCATATTTCCCCCCCCCCCCCGGCATCCCCCAGTTTCATCGTCCTTTTGCGAAAGTTGTTGTTTGTTTGCGCGACTGAATCACAAAAATGCTCCGCAATCCTTTTTTTTCATAGGCTTTTTGCATTGAGTTTTGAATGCGACGATGAGTGCTGCCGTGACCGTGACTTCTGCTGCTGCTTCTGCCTCAACATCTTCTGCTGCTGCTGCTGCCAATGCTCATCAGTGGTCGTCCGTCGTGCTCCTTGCCAAGCCAGACCGCGGCTGGTCGCAGGCTCAGTGGGGCGCCTTTGCCACGCGCGTCCACTCGCTCACCTCGCTGACCGCGCTCACCTCGCCCGCCGGACGCGCAGTCCCGGCCGCCACTCACAACGCTGGCTCGCTTGCTTCTGGCGAGTCAGTCGCCGCCGCCGCCCTCGTCGTCGTGCAATTGGACGCCAGTCTGCTCGCCAACGTCCACGCGGTCGTCCAGTCCGCCACCACACTCAGCCCCAGGCCAGCCCTGCCAACTGTGAATGCTAATGCCAGCACGAGTACCAGTACCGCTGCTGCTACGGCTTCCGTCCCCAAGCAGGGGTCTGGCGGTGACTTGGACGCTCACCTTGCCGCTCTCCAAGCTGCACTCTGCGCTCTGATGCCGACCAGCGCAACCCCAAGCTCAACCCCATCCAGCAGCAGCAGCAGCAGCAGCAGCAGCAGCAGCAGCAGCAGCAGCAGCATCCAGGACGAGCTGGACGCCATTGCACGCATCGCTCAAGGCGCGAGGCTGCTGGGCGACCTCCCAATCTCAACCCAGGCCGCCGTGTTTGACGGGATTGTGCGCCAGGCAGCCATCGCAGCCAGCAAGGCAGTCGCTGCGCATCTCAAGCAGTCACAGCCCCAGGGCGCGCAGTCGGCTCGATGCTACGCGCCAGGCGAACTTGTCGGCTCGCTGCCCAAGACCCCAGCCGGCCACCCGACGATCGCCGTTTCGCGCGCCGTTACCGATGCCATTCTGTTGTCCACAGTCACAGCCACACACACATCTGCAGCAGGAACTGCCAGCGGCATCCACATCTTCCCGCTCATCCACGCGACATCTGCCTACCAATCAAGCGCCTTGACAGCCGCCACAGACCTGCACGTCCTCTCTGGCGACGATCTGGCATGCTACCTGGCGGCGTGTCTGTGCAACAACAAACGCGTCGAGCTGTGGGGCGACCACGACGGCTTGTTTACCGTTTCCCAGCCTGCGCTCTTGCCCGCTGCGCGGTTGCTGCGCTTTGTCGAGTATTCCGAGGCGAAGGAAATCTGCACGGCGCAACAGTACGTGTGCAGCCCGGCCTGCATTGATCTGCTCATGGTCCACAACGTGCCCCTTTACATTTTCAACATTGCGTCCGTGCTCGAGTCGGCCAAACCGCTTGCCGCGTTGCCCGGTACGATTGTCGGCCAGGCGTCGTCGCACGCCCATCCCCGACTTCTCGACCCAAATCACGTCGAAGCGGCCATTCCGTCGTCATCATCGCCAACATCGCGAGGCAGCACCAGCTCCTTGGATTTGGTCATGAGCCAGCACGCGTCAAGGAGCGCGTCGATTGTCAAGACTGTTTCCGTCCAGCACAACATTACTCTGATTTCGATGGAGACCATCGACATGTGGCGCGCCGCTGGCTTTCTCTCGCGCATCTTTGCTTGCTTTGAACGATGCGGCATCAGCATTGACTTGATTTCCACCTCGGAAACCAACGTGACTGTTTCGCTGGAGCCGGTGGCGGACGTTGAATCGACGCGCGTGGCCAACGTCATGCGCGAGCTCAGCCGCCACTGCACCGTCACCTCCATCTCGCCTTGCGCCATGTTCACTCTGGTGGGCCACAACGTAGGCAACAGTCTGCAACGGCTGGGTCTGGCTGCGCTCCAAGGCCGCAAAGTCCACGTCATTTCCAAGTCGGCCAACGACGTCAACCTGTCCTTTGTCGTCGACGAGCTGGATTGCGAGACCATCGAGACTGCCTTGTTTGAGCACCTGATTCTGGCTGAAGTGAATGCCAGCGCGGCTGGGTTCATGTTTGGTCCTTCCTACTCTGAATTGCGGGCTGTCAACGGCGATTTGGCCAAGGCCCTATGTCCCGAGGATGCCGCCGACTCGCACAGCGCCGAGACAACACTCGCAACGCTCGCCTCCAAGGATGCTGCCTCCAAAGACTCGGGCAAGCTGGCCCATCCTGCCCAGCCGCAATGGTGGATGAATTGCATTCCAGAGCTCATTTCAGTCACTCCCCCCAGCGAGCCTCTTTACGTTTATGCAGAATCTGCCATCCGACGATCGGCGTCAGAGCTGTCGCAGCTCACTGCTCTCTCGCGCCTGTTCTACGCCATGAAGGCCAACAGCAACCGCCAGGTGCTTGACCTTGTGGCGTCGCTGGGCCTGGGCCTCGAGTGCGTTTCGCTCGGCGAAGTCGAGCTGGCACGCGAGGTTTTGAGCTCGCTCGGCCCCGCTGCCGCCGCCAATGGCACGGCGGCCCCCATCTTCTTTACGCCCAACTTTGTCCAACGCAGCGAGTACGAGGGTGCTCTGGCCTTTTCGAACGTGCTCGTCAACGTGGACAGCATGTACCCGCTCCGTCAGTGGACGTCGACCTTTGCTGGCCAGTCCATCATGCTGCGCATTGATCCGGGCGTGGGTGCCGGTCACCACGACCACGTCAAGACTGGAGGCGCGGCATCCAAGTTTGGCATTTCCTCGGCCGATCTGGCAGAGTGCGCCGCACTGTGCGCCGAGCACCGCATCAACGTCGTCGGTCTCCACGCGCATGCTGGCAGCGGCATTCTCGATCCCCACCAGTGGGTGCTGCATGCCGAGCTGCTGGCGTCGCACGCCATGCGCCACTTCCCGCGAGCCACCATCCTCAATCTGGGAGGCGGCGTCGGCGTCAATCCGCAGTGCCCTCAATCGGACGCATTCAACTTTGCGCAGCTCAACTCGCTACTGACGGCCTTCTCGGAAAAGCATCCCCAGTTCAAGCTGTGGATGGAGCCTGGTCGCTTTGTCGTCGCTCCGTCGGGCGTTCTGCTCGCGCGCGTGTCGCAGGTCAAGAGCAAGTCTGGCGTCACGTTTGTCGGATTGAACGCAGGAATGCACAACTTGATCCGTCCCGCGCTCTACTCTGCCTACCACGGCATTCACAACATTTCTCGCTTTGGCATGGACGGCGATCGCGACACAATGTCGTGCGTGGTGGTCGGCCCCATCTGCGAGAGCGGCGATGTTCTTGGCCGCGACCGCGTCTTGCCTGCCTCCACCAGCGAGGACGACGTGATTTTGATTGAGTGCGTTGGTGCCTACGGTCGCAGCATGGCCAGCACGTACAACTTGCGGCCTGTGGCCTCCGAGATTTTGGCGCGCATGTTCTAGACGAGTAGAGTTTGTGTGAATGCGTTTTCATCGATTGAGTGTTTCTTGTTGGATGCTAATAGTTGAATTGATTGTGCGTTTTGAATGCTGTTTTGTTTTTTTTTCGGCAACGTGGATTAGAAAGTTGTCCTCAAAAGCGCAAAAGCAAAACACAAAAACACGACAAAAATGCGCAAAAACGTGAGGCCCAAATTTGTCTCGATGGCTTTATTCGGGTGCCTGCGTTTTTTATTGCCCCGCCTCTCCATCATCATCACCATCACCATAAACGGGCATTCGGCGAAAGAAGGGGGAGGGAGGTGGCAAAGTTGTGCGGTTTGCGTTCTCGGCATTGAGCAAGCATTGAGCAAGGCAGCGGCAGCTCAATCGCCGATATTGCATTGACCTTACGGAACTCCGTCCCTTCTCTCTCGCGCAAATGCGTCCCCCTCCGACCCTCTCCCAGCGCCAAGAGTAGACAAGGTTGATTTTGCCATCGACTACCATCGACTCACAGCGTGAAGACGAAGGACTCGAGATTCCCAAAAGCAAAAAGCAACATTCACTCATTCAACGGTAGTCCTTTTTTTTTTTTTCTTTCCTTTTTCTCCATTCATTCTTCTTCGTCTTCTTCATACGCTCCCTTCCAACTTCTTCTTCTTTTTCTTCTTCTTCTTCTTCTCATCTTCGTCTCACTCTCGTTGCTTGTTGTTTTTTTCCGAATCAAAGCGCGCCCGTCGTCATGAAGCGTCGTCCTGCACACGCGCGCCTGGCGATCACTGCCTGTTTGCTGGCTTGCATTGCCTCTGCGTCTGCCAGTGCGTTTGCTCTGCCGTCTCTCTCTCTCTCCATTCACACGCTCTTGACCGCCTTCCCTCGCACCTCACATTCCCCTCTTCCCTCTTCCCTCTTCCCTCTTCCCTCTTCCCTTGAGAGTGACGAGACTGGGCGCAGGCAGAGTGAGTGAGTGACAAAGAGCAGCGAGCGAGTCATCTTGTTGGTTTTTGGTTGTTTTTTTTTATGGGGCAATTCAATGGCGAATGTTCGTGCTTCAACCAACGTCCAAACCCTTCAATGAAGGAGAAGCGACGACGCTCTTGCAGCAGGCTGTCATTCTATCATTGCTGCTATGCTATGCTATGCTATGCTGTGCCCTGCGCTGCGCTGCGCTGCGTTCGACTGCTTTTTGGGATTTCAACCGCAACAAGCACAAAAAAAAAAGCCCCAAACATGGTGGTCGAGCTCACCGACAGACACGCAGTCACCAAATGGGAAGAACAGCCAGCAACATTAAACACAAGCACACAAATGAACGACGTAAATAACTGGACAAAAAGCAGCAATGAGGGGGCTGCGATGAGGAGAAGCGAAGGGCGGGGCGGGGCGAGGGGAAGAGGCAATGGGGGACGCAACAGAAGAAAAGCGCGCTTCGGCGAAACTCTTGGACTTTAACGCGTCCTAAAATGGTAGTGGTGGAGCATGAGCAAAATTCCCCCAATCCAAAAAAAAAAAAATAAGAATAATAATAATAAAAACATAGAATACTCGCAATTCAAAAAATCAAGAATCCATCACAACGAACGCGATATGCCAGATCACTTTCACTCATTCTCTGACCCAAAGGAACCGCAATATGCTGGAATAATCTCTGACCCCACAACCAACAAAAACAAAATGCTGTGCTCTGGTCTTGTTTTCTAGTCTGCGTCGATTACCCGGACTGCGGCCCAGGCACGGATTGCACAGACACCAACTGCTGCACGGCCTCGCAGTACTGGTACCCATACTCAACCTCGGGATCCTACTGCTTTTCGAGTTGTCCAACTGGAACCTACAACTGTGGCGCCAGGACATGTTGCGAATGCGTCTCGCCATGCGCCAGGTGCACCTCCGCGTCAGCCTGCACAACATGCGCGACAAATTACTACCTGAGCGGTTCGGCATGCGTTTTAAACTGCCCGACTGGAACGTATAGAAACGCCGGTGTCTGCTCTGGTATGTGAATTTTGCGCGTTCAACGAATGAGACTGTACAAGGGGCGGAAGGCTCACCCTATTTGAACCCAATAACATGCTTGTAGACTGCTCTGCTGCTTGCACGGCGTGTAGCTCTTCTGCTAGCTACTGCTCTGCCTGCAACACAAACTACTACCTGACGGGCTCGTCGTGTGTCACTGCAAGCAACTGCCCAACCGGCTACTGGCCAAACGCTGCCACGCGCACTTGCACTGGTATTGGGCTGCTTTTCCTGTCTCTTGGTTTTTTGGTTTGGTTTACAGAGACGGGGTCTCTCACTTTTTGCCGGCTACCTGCTTCCTGTTTGTTTTGTTTGGTTTTTTCGGATTTGAAACCACGCTTGCAGCCTGCTCTTCTACTTGCACGGCGTGCTCTTCTGCCTCCGCTTGCTCTGCCTGCAGTACCAACTTCTTTTTGACGGGCTCGTCTTGTGTTGCTGCGAGCAATTGCCCAACTGGCACTTGGGCAAACACTGCCAACAAGAAATGCGACAGTTGCGGGTCTGGCTGCAGCGTTTGTACGTCGGCTACCTCCTGCACTACCTGCAGCACCAACTACTTCCTGTCGGGCTCGTCGTGTGTTTCTGCAAGCAATTGCCCGGCCGGCACTTGGCCAAACACGGCCAACAAGAACTGCGACAGCTGTGTGTCGGGGTGCGCTACCTGCACGTCAGCTTCTGCGTGCTCGAGCTGCAGTGCAAACTACTTCCTGACGGGCTCGTCCTGCGTTGCGTCAAGCAGCTGCCCAGCCGGCACTTGGCCAAATACTGCCAACAGGATCTGCGACAGTTGTGCGACAGGATGTGACATTTGCACCTCTACAACCGCATGCACGTCCTGTTCCTCGAGCCTGTATCGGCATCAGGGTACTTGTGTGACATCGTGTCCCACTGGCACATACGCAGATTCCAACAAGCTGTGCCAAGGTAAGGGCTTTTTGTCTGGGGTTTTTTTTTTGTTGTTGTTGTTGTTGTTGTTTTGCACTGGTGTCCAAATCGCTCATCGCTGCCCGACTTTCACCCATCTCAGCATGCCCAAGTGAATGCTCGGCCTGCAGTTCTCCCTCGACGTGTACGAGTTGCTCGGCCAATTACGTCTTGAATGGCGTCCTGTGCATCAGTCCTGCGGATTGCCCGAGCAACACCTACCCAACTTCCACGGCGTGCCAAAACTGCAACAGTGCCTGCGCGACTTGCCAGTCGAGCTCAACCACGTGCACTTCGTGCAATCCCGGCTCGTTCTTGTTCAACAACGCGTGCCCTGCCGCGTGCCCGCAAGGAACCTTTGCCAAAACAAGCACCTGGACTTGCGATGCATGCGCCACTGGCTGCACAAAGTGCTCGGGCTCGGCCACGACGTGCTCCGTGTGCTCTTCAGGCTACTACCTGTCGGGCACGACGTGTGCCACAAGCTGCCCCGCAGGCACCTATGGCAACCCTGCATCTGGCACGTGCGTCGCCAACTGTCCCGCGGGCACGTTTGTGCAAGGATCTGTCTGCTCCCAATGCTCGTCGTGCGCGACCTGCTCCGGCACTGCTACTCACTGCAACTCGTGCGCGACTGGTCTCATCCTCTACAACAATGCGTGCTGGTCCTCGTGTCCGACGGGCACTTTCGGGTCAACGTCGTGCACTCCTTGCTCTGGCACGTGTGCCGCCTGCTCTGGCACTGCAACCACGTGCACGTCCTGCCCACCGGCAAAGTTGCTCCAAAACGCAGTTTGCGTCGATGCGTGCTCCACTGGATACTACGCAAACCCTGACACTGTGACCTGCAGTCCGTGCACCTTCCCGTGCTCTGCATGCTCCGCATCGAGCACGCAATGTGACCAATGTGCTCCTGGATACGAGCTGAAGACTGGTTCCCTCTCCAGTTGTCGGCAGACGTGCGCTGCTGCGCAGTACCATACAGTCAGTGATGATTGCGCCGATTGTCCAGCTCACTGCGCCGCGTGCGCAGAGATTTATGGCATCTGCTCGCAGTGCCGCCCGGGCTATGTCATGCAATCTTCGCAGTGTGTGGCCTCGTGTGACACTGGGTTTTATCCTCAGGCGGGCGTTTGCACCGCATGCAACGCGACGTGTCTCGAGTGCTCGGGCCCCAGCGGAACGGCTTGCACCAGCTGTGCGACGGGTGCCTTCTTGTACAAGTCCCAGTGTGTTTCCAATTGCACAACGTTTGGGTGGGAAGTGGACGCGGCGCACAACAAGTGCGTCAACCCGTCAGCTCCCGTGTCGTCGGGTGCAACGTCGGTGGCTGCTGTCGCCGGTGGCGCTGCCGGCGCCGGACTGCTGCTCGTGTTGTTGTTGATTGTGCTTGTACTGGCACGACGCCGGCGCCGCGACCAAGGACGATCGATCAGCTCAAAGCAACTCAAAGCGATGGAAGCGGCTGCTGGGGGAGAAGGCGACATGTACGTCACACCCAACATTCTGACGCAGCGCAACGCAGCTCCGGCGCCGGGAGACCCGCTGTACGCTTCTGCAGACTATTCATCGATTCGTGAAGCCGACCCCATTTATGCAGTCTATCAGAAGCCCGCGCAGTCTGCTGCTGAGCAGCCAGTCTACGCTGCATACGCTGCACCAGCGCGAACAAGTGACGTGTCGGCCAGTGATAGCGCGATGGACCAGAACGTGTATGCCGCGTACAACGCTCCTGGCCTGGCAAAGTCTGGCGCATCCAAGGGCGACGCCGTCTACGAGACGGCGCCTCCACCGCGCCCCGTGACGTCGGCGGCTCAGCGAGAAGACAACGAAACTGCGGGCAGTCGCGCACAGGTCGCTGACGGTGACATTGGTCCTTGCTTGGACGTCGAAGGCATTTACGCTTCAACAAGCGAGGTCCTTGCAGGCTTTGGCGCCATGACAATCCCACCCGCGCGCTTGCAAATCCAGCACCAACTGGGCTCTGGCGAGTTTGGTGTCGTGTGTTTGGCCAAGTGGCAGTGCAAGGATGGGCAGTCTCGCAGTGTCGCGGCCAAGATGGTCCGCGCCGACGCCATGGCGCAGATGCAAGACGACCTTGCGCGAGAAATGCGCACAATGATCCGACTGAAGCACCTGCACGTGGTTTCCGTGCTTGGCGTGTGCCAACGCCCGGCTGACGAAGGAGGAGCGCTTGCCATTGTGACCGAGCTGATGCCGCTGGGCGATTTGAAGACTTACCTGTCCAAGCACTCGCCGACCATGGACGTGAACGGCGTCGCTCCTCCCAAGAATTTGCTCTTGTTCTGCGCCCAGATTGCGCAGGGCATGGCCTACCTGGAGACGCAGCGCCTCGTTCACCGCGATCTTGCTGCACGCAACGTGCTTGTTGCGACGCCCACGTTGGTCAAGATCAGCGACTTTGGTCTATCGCGCGACTTCAACACGGACGACAACTACTATGTGCTGCAAACCCGTGGCGCCAAAATGCCCGTGCGCTGGATGGCGCCTGAATCTCTGCTCTTCCGCAGGTTTGGCTCAAAGAGCGATGTCTGGTCGTTTGGTGTCACTGCCTGGGAGGTTTTCACCTATGGCCAGGAGCAGCCATTCGCTGGAATTCTTCCCCTTCGCTTGATTCAACATTTGGAGCAGGGGCACCGCATGTCACGGCCCGAGGCGTGCCCGAGTCAGCTGTTTTCCGTCGTGGAGAGCTGTTGGAAGTGGGAGGCGCGCGAGCGTCCTTCCTTTGCCGAGCTGGACAAGACTCTTGCAACCATGGTGGAAGAATCAGTGTTGTAAAGTTTTGTGTGTGTGTGTGTGTGTGTGTGTGTGTGTGTGTGTGTGTGTGTGTGTGTGTGTGTGTGTGTGTGTGTGTGTGTGTGTGTGTGTGTGTGTGTGTGTGTGTGTGTATTTGTGAGCATAGGCCTTGTACAAAAAATCGAAATGCTACATTTTGCTTCTGATATAATTTGTTCCACTCCATCGATCTGTCCGTGCGACGTGATGCTTGCATCCATTCTGAGTAACAAAAAAAAAAAAAGTCAGTCCTCATTCGTTTTTTGCTGACCAGAACATCCTGGCTGTCTCTCCAGCGTCGGCGTCGGCGCTCCAGCAGCTGCTCCTCGAGCGAGGATGGTTGTCCGAGTTGCTCAGCACGAGCGATGCAGTGGGTCACCTCACACAAAGCGACATGTCACGGTCGTCTCTGCTCGATGGGCAATCAACAGATCGATGTGCGGTTGTGCTCGTCGATGCAGGCAGCAATGAAGACAATGTTGATGGAGATCCGTTTGAATATGCGCAGCTGGGTGTGGCGCACGTGCGCGCACTTGTCAAACAGCTCAGCCAGCAACTCAGACTTGGACTCCACCCTTGTCAGAGCAACGACTGCGCTCTGCATGATGCTGAATATGATGATCATGATCACGATGATGATACCAGGGAGGGCGTTGAGTGGACGGCTGAGGCCTCAACTGCTCAGACAGCAACAACCAGCAGTCCGCCACGATCGGGCTGCACTGCGCTGCTCCTGCCACCGGTCGGCCAGCAGACGTCAGCAGCCGTCCATCTCTGTGCCGTGCTCACGTTCTTCGCCGTGGCAGTGACGCCGTCCGTTGGTCCGTTCTGGCCGCTCGCCGTCTCGATCGCGCCCGCTCAAGCTCCAAAGGTGGCATCATCATCATCATCAGTATCATCATTCTCATCATCATTCTCATCACCATTATCATCATCCTTGGAAAGTGCTCGAGAAGTCTCCGTGAGTTCAAGTCTACCAATTCCCAGCCAACTGCCATCTGCAATGATTTCAACTGAATCGCCAACTCGAAATCCAACTCCAACTCCAACTCCAATGGCTCCTGGTGAACAAGCATCTTCGATAAATCCTGCTATAGAGCTGCCAGCAACCCAATCTGCTGAATTTCCGCTCAAATCGCCAGCCGTGCAGCAATTGATTGCCGCCATGCCTGCTAGGTTTGTGTTTGACGCGTCAACCGCACGTGAAGCACTCACGACCATTCGTGCAGCCGTTCTGCATAGTGAAAGTGTGTCCAATCTGCGAGATTGCGCAGCAAGCCTGACTTTTCTGCCGCTTCAGCCGCCAAACTTCCAAGTCGGAACTCCGCTCCACCTTCCAGTCCAACTTGCTGATATGGACGTTGCTCGGCTCTGCGCTGCCCTGCCAAGCATGCATGGCGTGTGCATTCTCCACCATTCATGCCGAACTGTGCGCGCATTCGACCCTGCGTTGGCTTATCTCATGTCCACGTCGGGATCCACGGGCACTCCCAAAGTCGTTCTCGTTCCATCAACAGCCATTGCCACGAATGTGTCTGAACTGGCCGCAACCCTTCCAGGAGGTGCGGACGACCGGATGCTGGCAGTGGCACCTCCAACGTTCGATCCGTTTATCATTGAAATTGCTTTGGCTTGCATCCGAGACGCAACGCTCGTCATTCCTGCGTACTCCATCCGGCGCAATCCCCAAAAGCTTGCTCGATTGATCTCCGAAGGCGGCATCCATTGGCTGCAATGCACCCCTTCGCTGCTGGCTCAGCTGAGCCAGCAAGAGAGGTTGGCCATTCTCGACTCGTCACTTCGCACGTTGATTCTGGGAGGAGAGCCATTTCCTGCGTGGCTTCTGCGCTTTCTCTTCACGAACCAAGAACGCTTGTACTCGTCTCTTAGTGTCTGGAACATATACGGGACAACCGAATGCTCGGTGTGGTCGACTGCATTCCAACTGGATGTCTCGATTTTGAGCCAAGGTTTGCTCGATGCCTTCGAGCACTCCCTCCCCATTGGAAACCCGCTGCCCCAGTCTTGTATTGAATTAAGAGACTTGCAGGACTCTTCGCTCGTTCTTTGCCATATTTGTGGCTCCGCCGTGCACCACTCCCGCATCGCGACGTTGGCAGAGCGCGACGGATCCAGCACCCTGTGCGGCCAGCTCTGGCTCGGCGGTCCTGCTCGCGGCTGTCGGCTGCTCTCAGAAGCTGAATCTGAACTCTCTCAGCATGGCATGCGTGACTCTGGAGACCAGGCGGAGGCTGTCTTTGACGAGTCTGCTCCATCGACCTTCCCGCGCATTCTGTTCCGTGGTCGTCGAGACCGTACCATCAAACGATTTGGCCAACGTGTCAGCTTGGACGCCATCGAATCATGGCTCCGCTCGCTGCACGTGCTGCAATCTTTTCAAACTGTCGCCTTGGTGTACGACGACCCGTTTTTAACCTTGGTTTTGAGCACCGGTTTGGAACGTCAACAAAGTGCGGCGTCTTTGACGGATGATTTCAACGCTCGGGCGCTTTTGTCACATATTGCGTTGGTTGCACCTCAGCCCGCAATGGCACCCGATCGATTGCATGTTCTTCGTGCGCCGTGCGCGTTGACTCCAAGTGGCAAAGTTGATATGATTGCTTTGAAACGCCTGATTGACAAAGACACGCAATCCGATTGTCCAAAGAATGCCCCAACCTCGAGAGAGGCTCTGTGTCAAGCTTTGGAGGCCGCATGCCCACATCGGATCAATGAACTGCATCATGCCTTTGTCCATTCGACGGCCTGTCGCTGGCTCGACGCTGGCCTGTCCTCGTTCGATTTGGTGCGTCTTGCGGCAGCCGTGTCTGACTTATTCGCCACCGTCGACAAAGCTGCCGTCCTTGAATCCATGTTTCATGGCACATTTGAAGATCTGTGTCGCGAATTGATGCCGACTCTGCCCACAAATGTCCTTCAACGCGGCCAGAAGCGAAGTCTTGATGAGTCTCCGCCATCCTCTATTCGAGTGCCCAGACTTGAAAGCTCGAACTCACGCCGTATTGGTGTGGCATGTGGGTGTGTGTACTCCCGTGCCTCCAAGAGCAGAGTCAACCCAGCGTGTCGGCATGCTCCACTCGATGGACCCGCATCAGCCTGGACGTTTGATTTCTCGAAGTGCATTGATGCGTCGCCATTGGTATTGTTGTCCAATCAGTACGTTCTTGGAATTCTTGCTTGTCTGTCGTAATCTGAGCACTTTTGGCTTGTGTCGCTCATGTTTGTGTCTGCTTTTGATGCGTTGAATCGGCCTTTCTGATACAGGAAGCCATTCGTCGCAATTGGCTCCCATGATCACCATTTTGCCCTGATCGAGCTGCAGAGTGGCAACTTGTGCTGGAAAACCTTGCTGCCCGACCGAATCGAGTCGTCTGCATGTCTTTCTCCTGACGGCACCTTGCTTGTTGTTGGTTTGTATATTCTCACTGATGCTATCAAGATGCAGCCAAGCTATCGCACCCACGGCTGATTTTCTCTTTCGCTTGCACTTCATTAGGCGACTACAGCGGCGCCCTTTCAGCCATGGACATTAACGATGGAGCTGTCTTGTGGCAGCATCGCGCTGGCGACGCAATCAAACCTTCGCCCTGTGTGGACTCAGTTTCCAACACTGTTTGGTTTGGTAGCCACGACAAGAGCCTGCGATGCGTCGATTGCAGCACGGGCTCGTTGATCTGGCAGACAAGCTTCGGGAGTTCGTGGTTTTCGTCCCCTGCCATTGACTCCGCACGCCGAGTTGTCGTGGCAGCCGATCTCGGTGGCAGGGTTGTTGCGGTTCGATTGCCAGCAGCGCGCCTATCCTCGCCTGCAGAGCATGAGGTGCTGTGGAAGTATGATTGCGCGGCTGCCGTTTTCTCCTCCCCCTGCTTTAGCGACGATGGCGCTCTCGTGGTAGTTTGCACAACTGACGGTCGTATCTTGACCTTGTTGGCGAGTTGTGGACTTTTGGTAAGCGCTTGGCGCTCAGAAAGCGAGACGTTTCGGACGGCAGGCTTTTTTTTTTTAAACTCAATGGTTGCACATGCTGATTGTCTGCAGGTTTCCTCGGTGACTGTGCCAGCTGCGATTTTCAGTTCGGCTGTAATCTCTTCTGTGGCTTCCGCCCAAGCGATCTTTGTCGGAAGTCACGATGGGCTGCTAAATTGCGTGGATGCCCGAACGGGACGCTTTCTGTGGCAGCGCGGGCTGTCCTTGACCTCTTTGGGCTCTCCGGTCTACTCGTCTCCTGCACTGTTTGAGGTCAATTCCTGTCAGTTTGTCGCTGCTGCAGCCACGGATGGAACAGTTTGCATTTTTCGCGCCGATTCTGGCCAACTCGTCCATTCGACCGCCGTCGGTGGCATGTGTTTCTCATCCCCTGTTGTCCATGATCGGCGCCTGCTGGTTGGCTCGCGTGACAACAAGTTGTACTGCCTCGTACTGCCTCATCTTCCAGTCTGACATTTGCTGGATGGTTGGTGCAGAGTTGCGCATGTCACTGTTCCTGACCGTTCTCCCTTTCGTGTTGATTATTATTTAAATTTTGATAGTATTCAAAGTAAGATCATGCATATGCATTGATTCAGTCATCATCGTCATCATCATCATGCTTGCTTCACATTTTGGCGGGACCAATGCAGCCAACGCTGCTGCTGCTGCAGTCCCTTCGTCCTCGTCGGCCAGCAAGAGCGCCGCAGCGTCAGACGCGTCAGCATCGCCAGCTGCCTTTGCGCGCTTGCTTGGAGATCTTGCTGCCGCCGGACAAGGTGAAGAGAGAGTGAAGAGACAGACAACGGAGAGAGAGAGAGAGTGAAACATAACGAAAGCAGAGCCAACACTGCTGCCTCACACTGCTACTCCATTGGGGGGGGGGGGTGAGCATCAGACGAGTGAATAAACACCTTCTGCGTCACTGAGATGCAGCGAAAACAAATCCATTTGACAACGATTCAGAAAACAAAGAACAACGTCACAAAATAACAATATAAAAAAGCAATACAAAAAAAATCAAAAGCCAAAACTGGTTTCGTGTTTTTTGAATTTTTGGCGCCAAAAACTGTTTCGCTCTGTTGGTTTGCGCTTGCTTTGGGGTTTTCTTTGGATCAAAAGTGCTCAGAAACGAACGTTGCTATTGTTTGCTTGCTTGCTCTTGCTTGCTGACTTTATCCATGCTGAAACTGCACAGGCACCGTCGATGTGGACGGCCAGGGCGTCGTCGCTGTCTGGGTCGCCGAATCCGCGCTTCACCCGCTTCGAGCGTTCACACGCGCCAAACCGTTCGTCCTGCTCGTTCGCCGACAGCAGGCGAGCGGCAATAGCGCAGTGGCACCAAACACCACTGGCTCGTCAAGTGTCAGCACGGCGACTGTAAGCAGCCGTTCCTGCAGCGAGCATCGTTGTGAAACACAACACACGCGCAACTCACTCGCAACTCACTTGCAATAGCAGCAGACCAAGCTCACGCCGAACAGCACCGCGGTTGGGCTCGTTGGAAGCCACGAGCTGCAGCAGGTCTTTGTCGGCGACGCCAACGCAGACAGCGTGTAAGTGGCACACATTCATTGCGATGATTCAGTCATCTCCCATTTTTGAGCTGGTTCCTAACTCACACAACTGCGTGTAGATTCGGCTTGTTTGGCGTTGAGGCTGCCGTTCCAGACGCGACAATCCAGAAGATGACACTGGCTGCATTTGCCGGCCATGCTCCGTTGTCGTACGACGACGGTCGCTACTTTGTCGCCCAGTATCAGCGCGCTCAAGGACACGCTGCTCTGGCGCCACTTTTTGTCATGGTCGACCATTCCTTGTACCGTTTCATTGGTGCTGTCGCTTCAGCGGTATGGACTTTTTTTTCCCTCTTTCTCTGTGCAGCCTGATTGTTGTTCTCCCACAGCAGCTTCGTGCTAACTGCCCTTGCCTTGCTTCTCTTCTTTTCTCAGCCCATCGCATCGGAAAACGTAAACGACACGTTCGAAACCACAACAATTTCCGTCTCATGCCCGAAACAGCCCATTCTTGCGGCTGTCAGCGCGGGAGGCAAACAGCCCACTTTGACCAATGGCGCCCGTGCGCCTGCGTCCATCAAACAGCTGGAGGAGCACTTCTTGTTGCGGCACAACCTCCCTGGAACCGTTCTCGTGCACACACGAGCGTCTGCGACTTACGATATTGTCGGGACCACGTCAGAATACTTTTCAGCCGGAGGAAATGCAGTTCTGGCATCCAGCTACTCCAGCACATCGGCAGGCGCCGAGGACTCAGCAGCAGCCCCCAATCTTGATCCCTCTGGTATTGGCAGCTGCTTGGCTGTTGAGCTGTCGTGGGAGGGCGTGAACGACCAAGTCTTGTGCACACCTCCGCGCACTGCCAACGCAACCCTTCGGCTTCGCGCCGTCCCCGGCACGGATGATCGCAGTGCTGGAAACCGCGCTTTTGCCGAAGTCCAGGCCCTGCGAAAACTCGAAGCAGCACGGTCTGCCTCCTCCTCCTCCTCCTCTTCCTCTGCAACAGCGGACACGACGGCAGAGTCAGTACTGTTGGGACAACAGTCGATCGCTCCACTGACATCGGCCTTCCTCAACTTTATCAACGACGATGCACCCGAAAGCGGGTTGACGGATGCTTCGAATGGCTTGATTGCTGCGCTTCAGGCACAAGTCAGTGGGGTGGCAGTTCCACTGCTGGGCCCGTCCGCCGCTGCCTCCGCTAGCGGTCCAGGCGCCAGTGTGCTCAGCTTGTTCTCGCTTCCAGCACGACTGGATTTCGACTTTACCGAGCGTCTCTGGGAGTTTCTGCGACACGCCAGCACAACCGAGGACCTTGCTCAAGCAGTCACTCAGATCTTGAATGTTCTCCTGCTCGGTGAGCTCCAGCCCATGATTCATCGCACTAATCCCTCAAGTCTGGCGACATTGATTCGTGAGGCGCTGAAGCTTGCGCCAACAGCTGTCGCCTCTACCGCCGCCACGGTCGGCGACGCCAAAGCTGCGCGTCGTCAACTTGCCGATGCCATGCGTCAGCTGCAAACGCCGACTGGCGCGTTGGATACCTTGGTCGAGATGGGAGTTTGCAAGCTTCGGCGTGACTTTACACACTATCTCCTTTCCGAAGAGCTCGTGTCATGGTCCCAGCTGGGCTTCTTTTCAGATTCGACTGTTCCTCTCTCGGAGCAAGTTGAACGCGTTGCACGGTAGGTTGGGTGCTTGCTATGGCGCTGTCTTGAATGTGCTGTAGCGTTTTGTTGGTTTTCTCATCTGCTTCTGATTTGGACGATGTAAAAATTGTTTGTTTGTGTTTTTGGTTCAGCCTGCTGGCTGTTGTCGAGCTGTTTGTCGTGGCTCGCACATTCACAGACCTGCCTCATGCATCATTGAGGCAGCTATTGCGAGCAGCACTGGACTATTACACGAATCACAGCTCGAGCGATCATCCGTTGTTTGTCCTCGCGATGCCAACGTTTTCGGCCCAGACGGCCCACCTCAAGCGTCCAATCACCAGGTACGATTGTGCTTTGAGGTTCTGCTTGTGTGTGTAGTGCTGATAACTCACCCGTCGCTTGCTTTTGGGCTTGCTTTCAACAGCGCAAAGCCTTCATCGTGGACGTTGGCCTTGTACACGACGAATTTTGCCGCTGTGGACATTGTGCAATGCACGCTTCAGCCGCCATTCGAGTTGCCCTCGGACGACATTGGTGCGCGCGCCGTCAATTCGTTCGACTTGAACTCGGTGTCGTACTATGAGTGCGGCGCGACATTCGAGCGTGTGCTTTTCACGACGCCGCATCTATAATCTGTTTTTGCAGTAGTGTACTGCATATTGTCAATGAATTTCTCAAATTTCCAACAAATGCATTGCGTCGCATACAGGCAATGTGTCTTGAAGTTGTTGAAGGATTTACTTTGAAGCATCAATCAAAAAAAACGAGCCCAAAAGGCAGCAAACAAACAGACAAACAACAACAAAAGCAGCCAGTATGAAACAAACAATCCATCAAAGCGTGCGATTACGAAGAAGCGTCAAGCAGCTTGATGATTTCGGGCTCAATCTCCTTCGGGCGAACGCTGGCGCCAAAGCGCTGGATGGTAGAGCCAGTTCGGTCGATCAAGAACTGCAGTTTGTTGCGTGAAACGTTTCGTGAGCGTCAAGTTGGAAAGGTTTTGAGACAAAACCATGGCAGCGAGCAAAAAACCAATACCAAACAACCTACCTTTGAGAAATTCCAGTCAATCGGGCTGGGGTCGGTCTTGCTACGGAGGAAGCGGTAGACTAAGCAGGGCGTTGTCAGTCAGTTCGCAACGAGCAGCCAACGAGCAGCCAACTGAACCAAGCAGACAGAACTCGGAGGATTGCACACTCACCTGGATGGGCCTCTTGGCCGTTGACCTTGGTCTTTTCCATGAGCTGGAAAGTCACACCAAAGCGGGTCTTGCCGAAGTCGAGGATCTTTGCTCCGGTTTCGGGCTCTTGCTGTTGATTGCAAAAAAAAAAAAAAAAAAAAAAAAAAAGAGTGAAAATCAGAATGAGTGTTCAAGCAAGTGGACGGTGGTGGAGAACACGAGCTGTGTCGACACTCACGTTGAGGAACTGAGCGCATGGGAAGGCAATAATCTCAAAGCCCTTGTCCTTGAGCTCAGAGTAGATTTGCTGGAGCTCCGTGTAGTTGCTCTTGGTCCTGTCAACATGAGGTCGAATCCAAAGCTGTGAGATGATACTTTTGTTTTCGCAATCATATGCTCCCATAGAACTGAAAGCAAATGGCAAACGTACAATCCGCAGTTTGACGCAACGTTCACGACCAGCACGACCTGCAATTTCAATCGGAAGGTGTCAACCAAGCAGGTGAGTTTTCCCACTCCATCAGCGTGATCATCCGAAAGCAATTATGGCTCTGTGAGTGAGATGGTGGTGACGCGGTCGGTCGTAGTGAGGGTTGAAGCACGCGACCCTTGCGCTCAGTTGCTCAGTCGCTCAGTATGCGAGTACCAATTGCTGTTGTTGTGTTTGTTTTGTCAAAACAAGCAACTGACTACAAACTGACGACCTTTCTAATCGATTGTCCATTGCGAGCGAGTGCGACGACTTCGCTTTGGACTGAAAAAAGAGAGAGACGGAGGAAAAAACGACATGAAATGACAATGAAATGGTGCCATTCAAACTATTCAACCAATGCAGAGTCGCGCCTCAATCGCACTTACACATACGCTCAATCGCAGCATCCCACTCGCACCATTCACTACAACTGCTGCTGTTGCTGCTGCTGGTTGGTTGGTGGTGGAATGAGGCAAAACGGCTCTTACTCGTTCTCACAGTCTCTCACTCTACGTCGCTCTCTCTCTCACTCACACACACACACTCCATCCAATGCTCACCCCTCTACTCGTCATTCCCATCGCGTTTCCATCATGTTTTGGTGCCTCGTCGTCACGAATGCCGCGCTCGTGGACCCCCCCCCCCTCAAAACGCACATTTTGTTCTCAATACTTCCGCTTCCGTTCCTCCCGCTTTCCCCTCACACACACACACACACTACGTTGTAACTTGCACTTTGAGCTCTTCCCACTTTTGTTTTTGCTTTGTGCTTTTGTGCTCTTGTGCTCTTCTGGCTGGGCCTCACCTTGCCGCGCAGGGACGCAAAGTCGAACGGGTTGCCGAGAATGTCGGTGCACTTGAGGTCGTAAAAGTTCTCAACGTCCGTCTCGAGGTTGGAGCTGCCGTGGAAGGTCGTCACAATCTTGGAAATAACGCCGAGCATGGTTGCTTTGTAGTATTGGATTTGGTTGGTAAAAGCTTTTGAACAATGTATCAAAAAAAAACTGGGACTGAACTGAGCAGATTCAAATTTGGCGTTGAATTTGAATTGCATTTGGATTGAAAGGGGAACAAGTGGACGATGGATGAGAGACAACTGGATTGGTTGAGCGATGAGACGGCCTGTAGGTGAGAGCGAGAGGAAGGGACGGAGGGACGTGGGGAATCAGCACAAGGAGGGCGGAGGCGGAGGAGGAACAGGTCGGCTGGGGAATTCTCATGGCGCCATGCAAGATCGGAAACGTGAACCGACCGCCCCACTCGGCAATGCATGCATGCATGCATGGTGCCATTCAACGGCGGATTGTTGTTGGCAAAGGGGTGAGATAAAATGGCAGCATCGCCGTAGTGGCAGTTCACTTTGACATGGATTGTAACCATTGCCGTTGGGCACGGAAGACGATGAACACTAACGCTCAGACACGCGCAACCACTCCACCCCCCCCTCGCTCAGCCCTGAGATACTGCACATACTACAGAAAAGGAAAATAAACTAGTGTATAATGAAAACTCATAGTATGCACAAGACAAAACAGAAAAAAAAAAAAAACGAAACCGGAAAAAATTAACAAATCGAAAGTCTAACAGTCTAAAACGTTCTTCTGACGGGCTCACAACCTGGTCGAACCGTGCTCATCCTGGCCATCATGGTTGGTATACTCGTGGCTCGTATCATCGCCAGGCAGCGAAGTTTGGGTCTGCTCCATCTCTGTTCCGGCCTCGGCGACCGGACGAACAGCATTTTGCAGGCTGCTGCACGAGCAGTTCGCAGATTTGCTATGATCGATGCTCGGCGCGGAGCCCTTGTTGTCAGACCGGTCAATAGTGCTTGCCCCACTGTCGGTACCGCTGCTCGGCCCGCCACTTTGCGAAGATGGGACTGTTCCGGAAGACGGCGAAACGGTGTCGTGGTCCATCACACTCGACATCCAACCGTTGCCATGCACCGTGTCATAACGCTCGTTTGGCTGTACGAGATGCGGAAAACCAGTGCCCACAGACATTCGCAGACCTCGTTGAACTCGCGGATG